CGTTCGCATTCACTGGGATGGAGCCATCACCTTGCGTGCGAGAGAACCTGCCAGAGTAGGGCGGTACTTGTGTTAGAACGATATCACATCACACGTTCATAATCACTAGTCACACCATCGCAAGCAATGGGGCTAGAGAGACTAACTACAAGCTCTTGAAAACAATGACAGTTTAACATATGAAAACTCACTTCATGACTTTGGAGCCACTACCACTGGTAGCCAGCGTCGCACCACTCCCAATACTGAAGCTGCTTGTAGGCTGAACGTCGCTCATCCCATAGCCACTCATGTAGTAAGATGCCACAGCCCCGCCAGGCAGGTTGCCAATAATAGTGTCAGCCGGGGCCATGCGGCCGTCCGCAGTCCATGCCAGGGAGAACCACCCCGCTGCTGCCGTGCTGCCCGCTGCTGCCTCCAAAGCAAGGTTGACCTTGGTCGCACTGGCTGTCTTCCAGTGGAGAGTGAGAGCAGAGTCAAGCTGGATGGAGTAGGTGTAACTGGGGAGGGCGGATGCGGTGCAGGAGGAGGAGGATGGAGGGGAGGAGGAGGGAGGGGAGGTGGAGGGGGGGGAGGTGGAGGGAGGGGAGGTGGAGGGGGGGGAGGAGGAGGAGGGGAGGTGGAGGGAGGAGAGGTGGAGGGGGTGCAGGGGAGGAGGGTGGGGAGATGGAGGAGGAGGAGGAACCAACGCAGGAGAAGTCCACCGTGGCCACTCCGCTGAAAGGGCAGGGAAGGAATTAATGCGATGATTGTGAAAGGAGCAGGGAAGAGGATCATTGATTGCAAACCTGAATTGGTGGCGCATGAGCACACATCAAAGCAGCCCCACCCCCCCAGAAGGAAAGAAGAATAAAATTAAAAAGAATCAAACATGCTTCTTATGCAAGCAAGACTTCAGTATGCAGCCCACTCATTTTCGCTGTGGAAGCTAAGGGACCAAGAACCGCCTTCAGAGTACGCTCAGATACAAGGAGTTGCAGCTCTTGAGAGTGGAAGTGAAATTCCTTGAAAGTATGTTTCAGCTCACTCACTCATTCTCGCCGTGAAAGTCAAGTGACTGTGAGCCGCTTTCAGAGTAGGCCCAGATGAGCGTGTTGCTGCCGCCAACGTTCACCGGGATGGAGCCATCACCTGTAACGCGGGAGAACCTGACAAGTGGATCACATAGGAGCATGAACGGCACATGATTAAACATGGCCTGGCTCGTTAAGCAGCAATTATTGCGACATGAAATGGCAGAGGGTGAAGGAATCCAGCGGATCTGGTGGCATATAAGGCCTGGCACGATATATGATACTATGAAGTGTCATGCTTGCTGGATGCATAGCCATGAACATGTATAGCCCTTCTTACATCAAATACATACTTGATAATAGTGGAGCCAGAAGCTGATGTAGTTTGGACCGTGTTGCCAATACTGAAGCTGCTTGTAGGCTGAACATCGCTCATCCCATAGCCGCTCATGTAGTAAGCCGCCACAGCCCCGCCCGGCAGATTGCCAAAAACAGTGTCAGCCGGGGCCATGCGGCCGTCTGCGGACCACGCCAGGGAGAACCACCCCGCTGCTGCTGTGCTGCCCGCTGCTGCCTCCAGAGCGAGGTTGACCTTGGTCGCACTGGCTGCCTTCCAGTGAAGAGTGAGGCTGATGGGAGGGTGGGGGGAAGGGGAGGAGCAATGAATTGACAAGAGTATTGGGAAGGGGAAATGGAATTGGTGCTTTCAGAGGCATTTAAAGCCCATGTAAATGCATGGCTTGATATGGGATGGGGAAGAAAATCTGATAAGAACTTTTATTATTTTGGCAAGAGTTTTATTATTCTTGCTTTTCCATTACTATTCAATCGAGGTATTATTTCAGGGGAAATGTTCGGCAGAAACTCACTCGGAGGAGAGCTGCATTGAAGAGGTATAGGCGGGGAGAGATGACGCGTCACAGGCAGATGCAGCCGCACTAGTTCCCGCTGTTGTCGTTCCCAGAGTTGCACTGACCGCTGCGGGCTGTGTGCCCAGAGTTGAATTCCCTACACTTGCTGCTCCAACCCTTGCAGTTGCAGTGTTGGACGAAGTTGCTGCTGCAGCTGCGTTTGCATTTACCGCATCACTTCCATTGCTGCTGCTAGAAGCAGTGGAAATGGAGGCGCTAAGAATCCTGCTGTACACCTGCACGCGCCAACTGCTGCCAATAGTTGGCTTGACGGCTTGCACACGATGCGTGAGAAGCGCACGCCGCCCGGCGGGCTTTCCTGCAAAAGCGGTGCTTTGGAGAATGGCAGCCATCACCACGAATGCAAAAACCGCCGCCCTGGTGCCCATGCTGCGGAATATTAGGTCAGTATGCCTACTCCTGCAAGGGTGCGCTAATGTTTGATGGTTGGAGTGGATAGAGCGATTTGCTGAAAGTTGTTTTGAATGAGTGTGTGATGGGGAAGGGTGAAGGTTCAGACTGAATTTGGCTGGAGCTGGATTCGGAATTTATTCAGACTCAAATCTCTTCCCACCACATTTCTGTCACCCACATCGCGCATCCAAGTTCGCGCGACGCGAGACTGGAAAACGGCCCACGAGATTGGAACTTGGAAATTATTGGTGAAGATCGACAGTAACCGTCCCTCCAACTGCCGAACGTAAACTGCGGCGAAATGGTGGATTCAGTGACGTGGCTGCAACGACGAGTCAGCGTCCAGCGGAGACTGACCGAAAGGAAACTTAGAGTGGCTGCCTCCCCTTCGATGTTGACGAGTCCAATCTCCGAAAGTCAACGTGCTAAGAGAGCCATCACGAATGTTATGAATTATAACTTAGCGCAGAATACTATAGCGGAACATGATTACAATGTTGTACCGAATGTTGATAGAAATGAGGCCTCGGGAATATACACGGCGAGTTGACCAGGGCTGACTGTAAGTCTTCAGCACTGTGACGAGCGTAATGATTACGCTGGCCTGACGAGGTCTTGAGGTCGAACTGCGATCAATGGCCAGAAAGCGTCGAAACAATCGCTTTTAATCTTAGTCGTCGAAGATGTCCAATTATTCAGCTGACAAAACGGGCAAGGGTAAATACTCCAGCGAAAGACTGTGAACAGTGAAACTGTCGCGTGGTCGATTGATGACGACGCGTGACAGATGAATATCTGGAAATGATGCCTGGCGAATAACGTAATGGTCGATGAAATGAAGAATCCGTTCATCAAACGCGAGGTCGTTCGTGTCACAAGCAAGAGCACGCGTCCGTGTCCCACGAAAGTCAGCGAACGCCATCAACGAAGTGACAAAACCAGGCGCGGAAGCGTAACGGTGACGAATGATGCTCGAAGATGGATGATGGAACACGCCGAATGGTGAGTCGGAAAATTGCAGCACAGCTGCACTTCTCCCCTCTCGAAGAAGAAACAGCTCCGACGTTTCCATCTAAGTTGGATCTAACGTTTACGGTGTTTTACGATTTCGAACGATTACGTAGTTTATTTACGTTTACGAACGGTGACGCCGTTTTGGACTGACGTTTACGGTCAGGCTGAAATTTTTCTGGAGCTGCCCGAAAAAAAAAAAAACAGAAGGGAGTCATAAGGTGACGTACATGAACATGTACATATTGGTTCACTCACACAAGCTCTCACATATAGGGGTACTACTACTATTCCTCCAACTGTCTTTTACTTCTCTTCCTAGTCATCCTCGTCCTCCTCCTCCTCCTCCTCCTCCTCCTCCTCCTCCTCCTCCTCCTCCCCTCCTCCCCCTCCTCCTCTTCCTCCTCTTCCTCCTCCTCCTCCTCTTCCTCCTCTTCCTCCTCCTCCTCCTCCTCCTCCTCCTCCTCCTCCTCCTCCTCCTGCTCCTCTTCCCCCTCTACATCCTCCTCCTCCTCCTCTTCCTCCTCCTCCTCCTCCTCCTCCTCCTCCTCCTCCTCCTCCTCCTCCTCCTCCTCCTCCTCCTCCTCCTCCTCCTCCTCCTCCTCCTCTGGAATGCATCCTCTGGAATGTCGTCGTCGTCAAGCGGCTCGTAGTCATCGTGCTGCTGCTCGTCGATGTTAATCGACGCATGCCCTTCCTTCCGAAAACGCTTCTCAAAATCCTCATGCAACTTGCACACTGTGTGGTAGTTGTGTGTCACGTACACTAGATCCTCGAGGCGCTTAGGACCTAGGCGGTTACGTCGGGTTGTGTGGATGGACTCCCACACCCCCCAATTCGTCTCGCATGCCGAAGCAGACACGCACTGCTTAAGAATCCTGCAAGCCAGCTTGGAGAGGTTGGGACATTGATGACCATTGAACTCCCACCAATGAGTGGGGTCCAATTTACCAGCCTTGATGAGCTCATGCTCGGCACGTGCCTTAGCCTCACCAATGGCGCCTTCCCCCTTCACATAGATGAGAATCTCCTTCTCTACCGTTGTAGCCATCAAAACCCTCGTCCCATCCTTGTCAACAGTGTACTCCCCCTTGTAGTAGTCTGCGATAAACTGCTTGAAGATTCCCGAGCATTCAGCATCCCCCCCCGCTCCAAATATCTTCTCATATTGGTTCGGTGGATATAAAATCCGCCCCGCCACGTGCAATGCACAATTGATGTTCTCGTTCCAGCGGCGACGCACAGCACCCGCAACCCACTGCCGTTCTTTCGCCTTCAAGCAGCTGCATGCCTGCTTGGTGGACTCCTCCAAGTCGAGCATCATCTCATAGATCCTCCCCATAACCTCCTGGTTTCCATCAACTGCACGTAGAAGCATGTAGATTGGCTTCAAAATCTGTACCACCTTCTCAACTCCAGCCCAAAACTTGTCATCCCTGATTGTCTCGCGTGCCTTGGTCATCCGCTCCTTGCCGTGCGCAAAAGCACGCCACCCTGAAGAAAGCACCATTTGATCAAGAACCTTCCGCACATCGAGTAGACGCTGTAGTGCAATATAGTTTGTCCCAAAACGAGTGCCGGCGGGTTTCAGCAACACGAGAGAATTCTGCTCCCTGAAGTGACCAGTGATCCACTGCGCATTCTTCAGAGTGGAGATGAGATCCTGCGCCTTGGTGATGATGCGTGCCGCCCACTTCCGCCCCCCGATGTCTTTCATTAGATTGTTCAGGGTGTGAGCTGCACACCGGATGTACTGCACCTTCGGGTAGGTAGCTTTGATGATGTTGGCCGCACTAATGTTAGGGCTCGCCCCGTCCATTAGCAACCCCACGACATTGCCGGCTCCCACCATAGTGATTGCTCTTTTGAGGTGCTCCGCAATGAAATCGCCTCCCTTTTTCTTCGTTCCACAGTCCACGCCGAACAAGAAGACCGACGCTGTGGTGTTCACCGCCAAAAAATTCATTTGGGGACGGCTACAAAGATCCGTCCACCCGTCAGTCGCAATGCTCACACCGAAATAGATCCATGATTCCTTCACCGGTTTCAGGGCTGTGTCCATGCTAGCCTTGCAATCCTGCAGTAGGCGTCCCATGATGAGCTTTCGCCCTGGTGGTGGGAAGCCAATCCCAGCAGCAGACACCTTCCGCAACATGCCCTTGAAAGCGGCGTGCTCGGCGACGTTGGGAGGGATACGACAAACGTGGAAAAAGGTAGCAACCGCCTGTTGCGCGCTTGTCAATGCTGCAGTTTCGGGACGACATTCCTGGAGCGTCAGCTGTCCCCCGGGCCGCTTGCGGGATGTAGAGCCGCCAGCACTGCTACTGGCGATTTCACTTGTTTGCTTGGTGAAAGCGTCCATAGTCCGTTGGGAGGCTATCCTCTTTGCCTCCTGCCCACTCGCTTTCTCCGATACTACCTTACGTAGAGTCTCTTTCGCTTCCGGAGGGGCATTCTTGCATGCGGCAATGTTAGGGTCGTTCCCAAGAATATGCCCCTGCGCTCGACTAACGGTAAGGGACCATTGTTTATTGCAGAATCTACAGGACTTCTTAATAGTTGCATTCGATGCGGAACCTTCAGGCACGAGAAAGTACTTCCACACAGGGTGCTCATTAGTAGTAGACGCCATGGGAAGTTAGGAGGCAGTCGGACGTGAAAGTAGCTTAGGTTGCAGATATCTGTGGCTTCAGGAAACTAATGACGAGGTATTTAGATTCGTCTCAGTCCTCTGGCATTTGAAGGCGACTTGGCAATTTTGAAAATGGATCAGAAATGCGTGGGTTGTACGCCACGCAATTCTATGCGTAAGTCTCCCTGGAGTGCACGAGAGGTTTGAAATTCCAGTGCGGAATTCGATTCGTTGGAATTCCATCAACTTACTGTTGGCGGAATTCCGCCGTGGCGAAATTCTCGACGAATGGAATGCCCACGCGAAATTTTGTGTGGTTGGAATTTCGTGTACTTCTGGTACACGCCATTCCAAGGACTTGGAATTCCAAAGACTATGGAGTTCCACGTCGGAATGCGTGTTGGAGGAATTCGGCAGAGGCTTGTTCGGAGGAATGAAACCTCCGCGCGGAATTCCAATGTGGTTGGAATCTCGTGTTCTTATTGGTCCGCGAAATTCCACCGACACGGATTCCAGAATGTAACCAAGAATCGCGGAATTCCACACATTCCACGCAACTACCCCCCTTAGCAACCCATCTCACGCCCTCCCTTGCACAACACGTTCCCCCTCCCCCAATCCCTCTCTCTCGGTTCGCATCTTACCGTTCCTTCCTAACTTTCACCGCGAGCACTACGACTGCTCTCTAAACCTACAAGCTACTAAGTCGCAGCTCACTAACACCCCCTAGCACGACGTATAAATCTGCTAGCTTCCCATCTCGTTGATCTGCCCTAATTCTGAGTTGCATGCTGACTGACCCAAAGATTTCTCTAGAGAACTTTCATCATGAACCAGAAATTTTCTCAGAGATTTTTTTTACCTGCCCAGCGCGGACTAACGCGTTAGTCACCGTTCGTTAGCGAAATCGTAAATGATCGCGTTATATTACGATTACGAAACTCCAGAAATCGTTAGTGCCCAACTTAGGTTTCCATGTAAAACTCCAGGGAAACCCAATACTCCAGGGTAATCCAAATAATCCCACGCTGCTGCTTAAAATCCCATCACTCTGCATCGAATATGCCATTGGAAGAAATCCCAACTACTAAAAACGCGAATCATGATGACTCCAAAATCCGCTTCAGGTAAATTGTCTTCAGGGTAAACCGTGTCGAAGGTCTGGAAATTCCGCAACTACTGCTCCATAAGACTCCCACACGAACTCAAAAAAGCTTCAGAAGTCAAACACTGCTTGCAAGCTGGTCCCAACACAGCTCCAACAATACTGCTGCAAAATCTTTCCATTTCGATATTGCTCCTGATGGGTGGCGATGATGCGGCGGGGTCGTGTTCAGACTGTCGGGCGAAGCAGGCGAAGTGACGATTGTGGTGGTAGCGATTAGTTATGAGAAGAAGATGACGACGATGATGACCTGTGATTTGTACGAATCCCGCTCCCTTAAAAAACCTCGAACGGAACTTGGGGTCGAATGACGCCAGCTGCATCAGCTTCTTTGTCCGTACACGCCGGAAATTTGGGGAAGAACCGAAACTGCTGCTGCGCTTGTCCTCCTCCATGCACCCAAATATTCCGAGAATATCGGTCGATGTCGCTCGTACCCCTGAAGAGAGCGGGCACAACTCCAGCTGTAAACCCTTAAACTTCTCCTCAAAACCACTGAAAATGTCGGAATTCCATCTGGTACTTCAAAACTAGCGCAACTCCGCTTCACGGCTACCCGTAAAAACACTCAAGCGTCACGGCGTCCTTTAGCAGCGCCCCCACGGTTTCTCCACCAGCTGTACGCATGAGCGGCACCCTTTATATTAGGGAACACCAGAGTCCACCGCCTCGGCATGATGTTTTGGTCGTCTATCGGGGTCAACAAGCATCATGTTACCGTCGATTTCCGCCCACCTGTTACCCAACTCTAAAAATTCTCCGGTACACTTGTCCAGCTGGCCGTGCAGACGTTCACCCATCTCGCGGCTGCTGCAGGTTACCCACAACCGCTTCGTTGCTGCTTAACTAACTAAGAGAATCCGAAGAGATAGGAGTGCGCACGCGTCTAGTCAGGGGAGATTTAACGAGCTCGCTTACTGACCGCTGGACAGCTCCCTCCTCTATCGAAAACTCGTCAAACTATACCCGCAAACTCCGGAAACTCCTTCTGCTGCATCGGGTGAAACCCTCAGTTCCACTACAACAGTAACTATGAAAATTTCTGGGACACTCCATCAGTACAGTATAGTTTGCAGGTTCACCCCCCCTATTCAGCCAAGAGCCGTCGATTAATAAGTCGACACTGCTACCTGGTGGGGATGGTGATTTCCGGGCGACGTAGCTGAGCGAGCAGCAGCCCGAACGCCGCTAACCCTTAACTGCTCCAGTACTCCCGTCGATCTTCTCCCACTGCTTCAGCTCCTGGCAGTTAACGCTTTCGGCGACCGGTGGAAAAACACTTAATACACACCCAGGGGTGGTGGCCTCAGTTTCCGTTGATCGTGGGAGTATGAATCGCTGGTCCACGAAAAACGCCTCCCCACGCGGGAAGTTGCGCTCGCTGAGTACACTAAATCCAGCATAGCGTTATCACCTCCAGATGGCCGTCGTGGTGAATAACACCGAGGTCGTTAATCCCAGCTGCTCCCACACAACTGCGCACTCACACGTCCTCGTGTGATCGTGTCGTTCCGAAATTGTCGGATCCGCCTATTGCCGAAATAGTCTTGAAGTCCCGTCCATCGTCTGCAACTAGCTTGCCGGAAACGCCGGGACCCGCAAAACAGCTACAGTTCACCTTGCCGCTGCATGGCGTGCCAGACGTACATCGCCGTACGTCCCGCCAATTTCGCTGCCCCGCGCGCTCCTGACGACCAGCTCCCGGCCGCCTGAGGACTCCTGTGCACTTGTCGTTTCCTGACGACCGACTCTTGGCCGCCTGACGACTCCTCGCTTTTTTCGGAAGCCAATCCGAACACTTCATTAGAAACTCCTGAAAATAAT